CGCCGTGCCGACCCCGGCCTGCGCGCTGCTGCTGCTGTTCCCGCTCACCGAGCAGGTGGGTGTCCCCTCCCGCGCGGGGGAAGGGGGGGGAGACTGGCCGCGGGTAGCACTGGCTGCTGCCAGGAGTGTGTCTGTGTCATCCACTCGAGCATCAGACGGTTGGGTGTGGATGGGGCTTGCGCTGGGGCTGTAGGTGGACAATGTTGTGCATGGCCCCCGCCTCCAAATCGCCTGACCTGAGCAACAAAATGAACTGAGCAACAAAACAAGGCCTCTTATTCTATCCCAATGCTCCTGTGAGACTGCTTTTGTATATCAGACTGAGAAAAAACCATGACCGATCTTGAGCATGAGGAATAGCAATTCCTTTACTGTGCTGACTCATTGGATATAGAAAGGCCTAAACTACTTCTCTATGGTTAATATATTCAGTCCACTTGATGCTAAGGAAGTGAATCAGAAGATCAGGTTTGAAATAAAGAATATTTAACAGGTTCTTTAAATGAAGGATTATAACGTTTCAGTAGTAATGGATCTCAGTTGTTTACACGTTGTTCTGGTGGGAAGAGGTTCACGAAGGGAAGTAACCTGAAGGTCCAAAGGCACATTATTGCAGAGACATGTCAGTAGTCTTGTTCAGTGAACCAAAGCAATTGAGGGATGATAATGAAGAGCCTATCCATTCTATGGTTCCCCACCCCAAGCGATTTCCAGTGTACAGAACAGATGAAGGGCTAAGTACAGTACCTTTGGATATGACTGAGTCACGCAGGTAGTCAGTCCATTAAGTGTTGGCCTGAATCCAGTTTAGACATGGTGCTTACTGGACCTATGCCACAAAGATGACTTTCTTGTCCAGTCTTGGTATTGATTCTCCTGCACAACTTATCTGTAGTTTACACAATAAAAAGATGCAACTGTAATGAAATGCTTAAAACAGTTACACGTTTACAGCATGAGAACTTCAGGAAGCAACAGACTGAGAAAATAAAGGATCAAGAAATCAGTTCCAAGGTGTATTTCCTGAAGCAGACAGTCAGTAATTCCTGTGGGACAATTGGTCTGATACATGCAGTTGCTAATAACAAGGACAAAGTGAAGCTTGGTGAGTATGAATGTTCTGAAATGCTTGAATTTCCACTTTTACGACAGAAGATTGAATGCATGTGGGCTATTGGGAGGCATGGGGCTTTCATTCAAGGCAAGTTAAGACATGCCATACTGCTTCAGTTGGTAAGTGGGCCTTTCAGCTCTTGGAGGGGGGCACGTGGACTCAACCTTTGACTTGTGTTTGGTAGCTGCAGAGGTATTGTCCTAGTGAGCAATGCAAGAAGAAAAGGGCACATAGTAGGACTGACCAAAGTCTGTCTGTAATCGGGAAGTACTGTGTTCAGAAGTAGTTGTTGACATTGGTCTTGATGTCAACTGAAGAGATGGAGTTCTTCATGCCACCTATGTCTAATAAATATGCTCAGAGTAGCCTGTAAATCAGTTTGAAACATGTTTTCTTTTTTTTTTTTTTTCTGGAGAAGTTGTAGAGATGATAAGTGTCTGTAAGTAGACTTTTCCTGCTGAGATAATAGTTTTGATGGTTTGCTTCCTATAGAAAAGGATTATTTTATTGTTCAAAGACTGGAGATCTGCAAAATACAACTATCATTATTCCAAGAGAACTTGAACCCTTTGTGTGGTGTGGGATTTCGTCTTATACAAAGAAAATACATGCAGAAGGCATAGTGAGCATATGAGCATAGTTTTGCTTCTTGAAAAGATTCTCTGTAATAATGCACTCTAGATGAGTGAAGCAATGATGCAGCACATCTTTCATGGAAGACCAGAACTTAGTGCATATTTGTACTGCACTACTAATTTATGTCCTGGAGAACCAAAGTAATCCCATAATGAGCAAGTGCTGCCTTCATTTGAAGGCAGTGAGACAATTTCATCTACCCCTATTCTGTTACTCGATACTTATGTGTCCTTACAGCTGGCACCTTTCTTGAATTTCTTCAAAACAGGACTGAACCCTTCTGCCAAATGTGCAGTGGGAAAATCAGAAAAGCTACATCCCATTTGAAAGTGACTTTCAAGACAACCATCCAGAGTACCCTGAAGTGCTACACTCTAGTTGTGTAGATTGTTACTAATAGCTTCTGGATAAATAGCTTACTTCAAGTGGTAGTTAAGCTTGTGTAGGAGATAGTTACAGGCTGAATGCAATGAGTTGTAGTTGGTGCAACAAGCACTGATTACTGTGGGCTGCATCTCAACTGTGACTGATGCTTTACACATACTGAATAAAATTTTTGATTATCTTGTGCAGATGAGGGGTCTGCCCTGAAGAAGTTTCTTGATGAAACAGCTGATTTGTCTCCTGAAGAGAGAGCTAAGCATTTTGCAAATAATAAGGTATATAAACTATGCAAACTGCTGACAGCTACCAGCACTTAAGGATGTAGTAACCTGTATCTGCTTTATCTTAAGGCTATACAAGAAGTCCACAATTCGGTTGCACAAGAAGGACAATGTCGGGTAAGATGTGAATGTGTAAAATATTGGGGAAAGAGATTAACAAAGGTAGTAGAGCAATAAAGCTTTTTTTTGTCTGTCAGATGGCTGTTATATTTCATGAGGACAGAGAAATGAGTGACTTGTGGATGACTACTTGTTCAGGGTTTCTTCCTTAAATATAGATTGAAAATTTGGGTCCAGATCCAGATTGAAAACATGACTCTGCACTAGGATTTCTGGTGCATGACCTTGTAGAGGTCTTGCCACAGATCTCTTCAGCTGAACTTAAGTTTTCAGTCCTTTGCTACTGCTTTGTTGTTGTCTATTTTGGTCTGTAGTCACATGTAGGGTTTGCAGTACTAGCTTCAGCCTAACAAATGTGTCTAATGGTATCTCCAAATGTATCTAATGGTATCTTCTAAGGTTGAGGACAACAGTTTGAACTTCCACTTCATCCTGTTTGTCAATGTGGATGGACACCTGTACGAATTGGGTAAGATTCTGCTAACTCTGCAGTTGGACTGGGCCTACTTCAGGCTTCACAGCAGCACTGGGGGCTCAGGCGAGATACTCAGTGCTGCTTAAATTGTTTGCTGAGGCTCTCAGAGCCAATACACAGTTTGTACCTTCCCTCGAAGATTTTAACTGATGGTGGGTTGCACTAAATTCTTTTGTAAAGCATGTCTTTGTTGGTAGAGCTGAGAATACTCAGTCCCCATCTCAGACTATGTATTGACAATTTGTTCTGACTTCCCAAATACATATCATCATATGTGTACTTGTTTGGGCCCGCTGTGCTCAGTGCTGCTAATTCTGAAATACTAAGTATACTGAGTGATAAGGCTTTCTTTCACAGATGGCCGTATGCCATTTCCTGTAAACCATGGCACAAGCTCGGATGACTTGCTGTTGAAGGTAAGACTTCTCCCTCGCTGCTTGTTTCCCTGAAAGCAAGGCCTATAAAAGGGTGAGAAGTGTGCATTTGGTGTATAGTGGCTGTACCTACTTGCTCTACAAGTCTGTGCTTCTTAAATCTACCAAATTTAGGACTACTAAATGTATTGTCCCCCAGAGCTAGATACCTCTTAAATGTATTTATCCACTGGTGCTATAAAGACCTTGTAACTTAGTTGGTGGGACTCAGAGAGGAACAGCAATGACTTGTTCTCTATAGCAAGTCCATTTTCTTAGTCTAAACAGCTACCTTTTTTTATCCCTAAGGATTCTGCTAAGATCTGCAGACAATTTACAGAACGTGAAAAAGGAGAAGTTCGTTTTTCTGCTGTGGCTTTCTGCAAGTCTGCCTGAGACTCTGAAGAGATGCAAGGAAAACAGTCTAATAGCACACTAGTAAATGCAGTTTAAATTCCAGTGCTTCAGTACTTGTTAAACACCGCTGTTCTGGTAACTATTTCCACCTTTTTGCTATACACAAGAGCAACATCAGCTGAGCTTATGTTAAAGGATGAGCTCAAGTTTTAATGTGAACAGTTTGGACACATCAGATATCTTTAGACTCTTTTTTCACATGTTAAGTAGAAAATGCTTAACAGGGCTTGTTTGATCTGTGTCATGTTAATTGAGTTGTTGGTTGATATTTCCTTGTCCTTGATGAGAATAAAATGTTCTGCTGGATAAATGGACTAAATTGATCACTAGCTTTCTCTAAAAGAAGTTGTGTGGCATTCTCTGTAAATTCTTGTTTTCAAAAGACCCTGAAAGATCTCCTCTAAGCAAAAAGTTAATGTTGGCCTCAGGGTAGCAGGACAGTTGATTTTTCTAGGTCTTGAAAGCCTTCAAGGATGAAGGATGTGTTCCAGTGCTGCACTACTGTTCTAGTAAAGTTCTTTCTAATGTCCAGTTTGAAACTCTTAAGCTGCAATCTGCCACCCTGAATGCATTTATTTTTAGAGGGGTAAGGTGTGATAAATGAACACTCAAATTGCACCTTAATGTGGTCTATATTAGTGCTACAAGCAACAGAATGCCCACTGAGTCAGCTGATGTTGTTTCCTTACAGGAGACAGTATTAGAACAGCTATTCTCCCTATCTGTAGCTAAAACAAATCTGCTGGCAAACACAGAAAAAAATCCTTGGCTATCCCCTGTGCTTACTAACTTGTGGTTGTTACAAAGACCTTGAAAGGGGCTATACTTCTCTCTCTCTTCCAAAATGACCTGAAAAGGAGAAACCCACACTACACAAATTTCTAATAGCAAGATGAATTTTTGGGTTTAAGGGAAAGAGATTTAAACTTTATTACATATTTCTTGGCCTCAGTTGTGACCTGTGGAAACTGTTTTTACCTGAGTCTAGTTGCTGTTTGCTGCTGTTGCAGCTCCTTGCTGATACTTCAGGTAGCTGCAAGAAGGGATAAAACACCCTTCAACCCTTATTTCTAATGATTGAGGTCCCAGTCTGTCCCTGCCAGCCATGTTGTATGGTGCTGGGGAACAGTCTTAGATGGCTGCTGGTGCTCTGTATGCTGCAAGCTGTTCTGGCTTCCAGGCTTTTTTGAAGGGTAAGTAAAGCTGTGTGGGGGCTGAAGTTGCTTTGTATTGGGCCTTGTTACTGCTCATATAATTAATTACCTGATAGCTGAAGCTAGCAGAGGGTTACAATACATTTTAATTCAAAATCTAAGGCTTTGTTCAAGCTCAGAGTACTTCAATTCTGAGCATTAGTGTCTTTTGGTTTCTGTTAGCAGAGAGGTGAAAGCTGAGAAAAGGTCTGTTACATGTCATTGCTCTCTACAGCAGCATCTTCTGCCTGTTAGTGGAAGTTGTTGTAGGGTGAAAGGAGGCCTCCTGGGGTATCTCTGCTGCAGCCTTCTGTGCCAGTACAGACTCGGAGCCATGCCTGGGACTCAGGCTGCTTAGCAACAAAACCTTCAAGAGAAGAAATGGCATAAGCATAGGAGAGTGGAAAGAGCAATAAAAACCAGATACTGACAGAGGAGGGGTATGAGAGCAGAGCCCAGTGAGCTGTATGCCATAACCTGTGGCAGTGTGCCATAACCTGTGGCAGCCACAGAGGACCCTTTCCTTCCCCTTAAGGCCGTTATGAGGGTACCTGCTGTAACTGCCCGTGTAGAGTTACACGGGTGATCAGTCAGTGCTGAAGCAACCTGAAAATGCCTTTGAGATACTACTGTATTTTTTATAGTGATTGCAGCATTCAAATATTTTGGGTTTTGTTTTTTTCTTTTTCTTTCTTTTTGTTTTAATTAGCAATATAAATGGTGCTATGTAAGTTAATTTAGTGTTTCATAAACTTTTTTTCTCTCTTTTGCTCAAGTTTCTGAGTTAAGAATCTACTAAGAGGCAACATTTTAATGATTTTGGCCTCATGAAGAAACAAGAAAAGGATTGTGACAGACTGTTCTAATTTTCTCACATTCTGGTCCAAGGTACAGTTTGAAAGGATGAAAATAAAGAGAACAACTAAGGAATGAATCTTATGCATCCACTCATGTATAACAACCCTAGCAAGGCTGTTTTCCCCTTCAGAAATGACCCCAGGCGTCTGGCAAACAGCTGGACTTTACTGTAAAACACTCTAGGCTCTAAAAAGAGGAAGATAAGTTACTGGGGATCTTGGGAGTTGGGATAGAATTGCTCCAGATGAAGGGGTTTTCAAACAATGGGTAAGGATCTATAAGCTGAATAGATGGAAGATTTTGCAATAATAACAGTGCAGCTGTTCCAAATGTGTTACTGCATTCACAAGGAAAGTCACAATACATGGAAGCATGTAGGTGGCAATTTAAAACCATATTGAATAAGTCATAGACAGAAAACAAGGAAGATGTTTTAAAGTCATATTAGGTGTGTACGATCTCAAAATAAATGTGGGGGATTTGCATATTTTCCAACTAATTTTACCTACTTGGCAGTTTTTGAATTTTAATTTTTGCCCATTGTTTCACACTTTGGCAGAAATGTGAGACACTGCCAGTCACTGGACACTGAGAGCACTGCCCCACACCACACCCCAGAGCCCCTAACCCAGCCCCAGAATGGCTGGCACACTGGAAGCCCCATCTGGGAGTGGGGGGTGGCCACAGGGGGACAAAGCAAATAAAAACAGCATCATGCAGCTATTGTGTGGTTGCACCCTACCTTCTGGACATGTGGAAGCTGGACTTGCATGAGACACAAGGTGGTAGCTAAAATTCTTTTTCTGTCTTTACTTCTCTTAATATCCTTTCTTGATATTTTTGGTAACTTACAAGGTTGGATTTTGCTAAGTTTTAGCATGTGCTAAGTAATTGCTTTGTGAAATGCTTTATTTTGGTTGAATGTTGCCCTTTAAACTTCTGCCAAGTTCCCTTATTTTCTAAAGTTTGCCAGTAAAAGCATGTTATTTCACCTCCCGAGAAACATGTTCAGCATCTTCTCCTGTGAGCTCTCCCAAGGTATTAAAAGAACTGAAGGCCCTTTTAATAAATTCAGCAGGTGAATTTTTTAAGCCTTGTATATTTTTAAAATAAAACTCCTTCAGTGAGCTCACAACTCGAGGCCTGGGGTCTTACAGCCAAGAGGTATAAATGTCTGTAGGCTATTTTAGAGTGTTATGTATCAAAACGCTGTTTTCATGAGAAGATGTTCTTTCATAAATTAGTATTTTCTGTTGGTCACATCCTCTCTAAAGTGCAGCTCTTTATGTTTCTTGTCTCTCCTTATTTTCTTCTGTTTATTCTTAAATCTGTAGTTCCACATGGAACTCTTATCTTTCCTTGATTTCCTGTGCATCCTTCTTAAGTAAATTAGTTGTTTTGACCCTTTCTAATTCTTATCTAAAGCTCTATATTTTTTCCCAAATTTACCCCTGAATTTTCCCTATGGCAATTGTTGAGAAGGGCAGGAGCTTGTGAAGCCCATTCTGTGTTTTATGCCCTGAAAGAAACCTGTGACTGGCTGTTGCCATCGCTGCTCTTCCAGACAGAGGAGTCTCTTGAGCAAATTTATTTTAAATCAAGAGGTTCTTGCTATTTTTGTGCAGCCTTCCGGAGGTGTTATTTTAACAGTTAATATACAGAACTATCCTCAAAAATATATAAGAAATATTTAAGAATCTCAGGTAGGATTTCAGGTTTATCTGTTTAGACCTGCACATTGCTAATTTAGAACTGTATCCAGGGTTGATTGTGTGCAATCTTATAATTTTTGTAAGTCTTCTTTGCTCTGTTGAAAGCTGTAGTCAACCTGTTCTGTAGGTGGCAGCATTGGGAAACTTTGAGCAACAAGTCCAACAGCAGAACAGATCCTGAAGCGATCTTATTTTTTAAATCCAGTTTTTAAATCTACTGCTTTCAGTGAGACCGCTCACATGCTTAAGCACACTTCTGATGTGGCCAAATAGCCAATCCTTATTTTAGTCAAAATTTAGGAATAGCGTAATGTCCAAAGCCTCTTACACATTTGAGTTTACTTGAAGCTGATACAGCACCACACCACCTCTTTTTCCAGTATACACTGCTGTACAATATACGCACTACTCTTTCCATGCTAAATAGAATACTTTTTTGGGAGAAAAAGGAACAAAAGTGTGAGACTAACTCCACCAGTGTCCTGCCTTTGATGTACAGACCAGCTTATCAATCTCTAAATAATCAAGATGGAGAAGTAATTAGCTGAAAAAGGAACTAGACACACTAGTATCCTCTGCCTTTGATACAAAGGCAGTGGGGAGCTCTATGGACCAGTGCTGGGCAGTGGGAGGAAACAGACACTGCAATAAACTTTTAAAGTCACGGGATCCCTCTCCTGGTGCTGCCAACAACCAGGAAGAGGCTGATGACAGAACTTCAGCTCAGTGAGACCAAATGGGAACAAACAAGAACTGGGAAAAATGCATCCAGAAGTGGAGTACTAGCATTTAAGTTCCTTCGTGACCAAAGGAATTAAAGTATCACTTGCATTTTGTAATTTTTAAATTCTTGCACAGAATGATATCAAGTTACAAGGAGTGGTTGACATTCCAAATGCTTTGAACCCAAGAAACCTCAACAGATGAGAGGATGGATCTAGAAGAAACCTCATGGAGTTCAACGTGGTGAGGTGCAGAGCTTGGCACCTGGCTGGAGCCACCACAGGGCCGGGAGGTGATGGGATGAGTTTCAGCCCTGCTGCAACCTGGGGGTTATAGCAGGTGCCAAACTGAATATAAGCCCATGTATTGAGTGCTCTCTTTGTGAATAAGGAAATGTTGGGAGTCACATTGGGAGGAGCAAGACCAGCAGATGGAGGGAAATTATTATCCATTATTACTTGGCCCTGGTGAGGCTGCACTTGGAATAGCAGTTCAGTTCTGGGTCTCCCCACCCAGTCCAAGAAGGATGTGGAGGAATCTGGAGAGGGTCTAGCAGCAGATTACAGAGGTAGAGAGCATGTGGCCTACAAGGAGAGGCTCATGGAGCTAGGTGTTTATAGTCTGGTATAGAGGAGACTAAGGCAGGATCTAATTGTAGGCTACAACTACTTCAAGGGCAGTTGCAAAGATAACAAAGCCATACTTTTTCTTGGTAGTAGGAGATGGTATATTAAAGGGCAGTAACTGGAAATTGCATCTTGGAAGGTTCAATTTGGGACATTTGGAAACTAGAAGAGTACTTCTTCATGGAAGGGTGATATATTGGAA